ACTACTACTACTACTACTACTACTACTACTACTACTACTACTACTACATCTTTGTGCACATGTTACATTGTGCCCCATCACGTGGCGAGACTGAAGGGGAAAAAAACTGCTCGCCCAGCTCGACCCAGAGGAAACACAAAAAACAGCTCGGGTGCCGTGCCAGGTGTGAACCCACTTCTTGGGCAAGAAACACCTCAGCCATCCACAGCTGAGCGGCTTGTTCAGCTTGGGCCACGAGATGCGAGATGACGAAGTCCCAAGCACCGGTGCTGCTCAAGTTATGACTATGGAGTGAGGAAGTACAATCCACATGTTCCTTTGCTCACCAAGAGCACTGGAAAGGACATGCTGTAACGAGCACCACTTGGAGGCTTTCCCTCAAGACCTGCACCTTTTTGGGTTGCTTCTTCGGGTGGCCCACACCAACGGGCCCCGGCGACTCGTCCTTTGGAGATGTCTCGAGGTGCAAACCGGGAGAAGTCGCCATCATGTTGTGAGGCCAGTCTGTTTTACCCACAGGGTTGCGTTAGGTTTACCAAACCACGCCATGGTATAGCTGAAATTCGCCACGTCCAAGAGACGTGTATATCTATATATATATATACCAAACAAATTGCGTATATGACTCCTTCATGCAGTGGATGATGCCAACCAACAGAACACCCAAAATGAATTGGTCATCTTGCGTTACATCCGATGGTAGAATCACAAAGGTCACCACTTGCGACTTTTGGGTCGAGTCAACTCCAAAGGAGACCCGTTGGAGGGTGCTGGTATACAATACGCATGGTAAGTTTGATGCCTCATGACATATCTAAGGCAACGGCTGCTTGTCATCCACATCTTTGGTGATGTTAGTCTGGACACGGCGTGCGAAATTGTCGTCCACACACTGGGTTCGGATAAGAAATGAACATGCATGTCCGAAGCCATTGCTTGACAGAAAGCACTCCTATCAACATCGACACCTATCAACTCAACTCAACATGCCTCGTAACAAGAAACTACCAGTAGCTCCTGGCACTACTAATGGCAGATACTAGTAGCAAGAAACTACTAGTAACAGGTGCATGGCTACTAGTAGCAAGAAGCCACTAGTAACTAGTATATACCAATGGCCTTGTTCTCAATCCAGGATCGGCCGGCATAGTCCGTCTCCTGAATCGCCGCATCCATGGCACTGTGATGACTCAAAAGATTGGCCACTGTCAGGCGCACCTGTGTAAGCCTTCGTAAGAAAACTAAAGCAATTGAGTCTGGTAGAGATGGTCAACCACCAACAAGGTAGGTACAACTGCAGGTTGACTCAAAACCAGTGATATATAAAAGGGCACCCGTTTATATCGAAATCCTGCAACCGTATCTCAATCCAACATGCACGAAAGAAAACAGCTTCCACGTCTTGCTTGGTCACTTCTTAGACTCCTAACTTAACATGCTGGGACGAGCAGGAACCCAAATGGACACAGCAATTGATAAGAAGCAAATAGAAAACAACACAAACCTGTGGTTTGATGGTAGCAACCAATAGGCATGGTGAGTGTGTTTGTGACCATTTCGTGCATCCATACATCAGAACATCTCAGAACTGTTGACAAGTTCTTGCATCTACTTGGAACACAACAACTAAACGAGCGCAAACTATAGCTCAGAGGGGGCTACTGTAAATTAATTTCTGCATTCAACCCTAGACCCACAGTCCATGCTTCTACCACAAAAAAAACGAAGACCTTCCCAGGGTTCATTAAATGTACAGACTGCTCAAGACCCCAACAATATAGATGAAATCTTGATGAGCCTAGCTCGAACATTAACGATCACAAATGCACGTCTGTGTTGCACCCAGCACCGCTTCGTTGTTCTCGCATGTCAACTCAGCGTTTGCTCACTTAAAAACGGCTAGCTTTAACAAGAAGCTCAGCATTACAGTTTGAACTCAATCATCGCACGCTTTGATGGGCTCTTGTCACTGTGATGGATAATCACACGAGCCAGTGCATTGAAGGTTTTCTTGTGTTCAAGCTGGAATTTCTTGACATAAGCCTTCATTGCATCGAGGATTTGACAAGATTTGCATCCAAAATGCGAGTTGGCCAGGAGCTTTTCTTTGAGCAGAATCTGCTGCACGCGCTCACTCGTGCCACCAAGCATTTGCCACTGAGATCTAGATTCATGCGACAAAAATGCTACCCGAAGCTTCTCTCTCACCTCCGCACTACTATCTTCAAGACATGGCAAGATGCCAATCATCCTCAGCATTACCTTGTTTGCCGACACATTCACAAAATTGAACATCGCCTCTGACTCATCCGCATTCATCTCGTCGTCCAAATAACCGAGCCTCCTCAAGGCCTGAGATACTAGCAATGGTGAATCCTTCAACATGAATGGGCCACCTGCAAGGAAGATAGAATGAGCCAATATGCTCCCATATGTGCCACTTCGAGCCACTCGACGAGTAGGTGCGAAAAACGCCAAGTTGTCATTGTACCGCTTCCATGACTTGGCCCTCGATGACTGACTGATGGCCTTCTGCACTGCCAGTGTTGAAAGCTGATCAGGAAACACCACTAACGATCCCAAGCCATGTGCAAACCAGAATTTAGCACAGGCTGGTGTCAAATACTTTCCAGTTGCATATCCCAATTCTTGCAGAACCCCCCTTACAAACTCGCCTCCTTTGGTGTTGTCAAACGACCTGTAGGCATCAGCAACAAGCTTGACCGAACCGTCTCCATTTGTGTGAAGAATGGCTCTAACTCGTGAACCTCTTTCTTGACTCCCTGTCTCTAGCTCTAAAACCTTCACACCCGAGTCATTGTATCCTCTAAGCGTTGAATATTTGTACTCAGGGATCACCACTGTCATTCTCAGCCCTGAAGCCTGGGCTTTGAGCACGGCCACGAGAAAGCCCAAATCAGATGTCAGCAATGCCACTCCATCATGACAACTATGACTCTGACCAGATAGCTCCTGCATGGCCAAGGTGATTGCTTCATCGTTGGGCTGTTTGGCATGGTCAACAATAGTTGCTCGATGAACCGGGCAGAATGCGACACCTTGCTCTTTGATCAGCCGACCCCATTTTTTGTTGTCTTGTCTTGCGGGTTCAGCAAAAATCTTTGTGCGGACCAGTCCGCCCTCATCCTTCAAACGGCTGATTGCTTGCCTGATCTCTTCGACACTGTGTACATCTGCATCAACCAAGAGTGTGGTTTGCGGTAGCTTCTTGATCTTCTTCGAAGTCCCAAATCCATGCCAACCCAAAACAACAATCCTATGGATTGTGCACGCTGCTGAAGGACTTTTGCACACTTGCGGAAGACTCCAACGACAGAGTCGGCGCATGTTGAAGACTCCTGTCTTTGTTCACGCTGAACTTGCCACACCCTGCCGCTTTGCTGTTCCACTATTGCTTGAGAAACGCTTTTGGAGGGTACTTGCAGTCACAGCCACCTGGTGCTGGTCCTACTTGCATATATCCCTCTGAAAATAGGAGCAGTTGATATAAGCAACCGAACATTGTGCTCCACTGGTGACAGTTGCAGAAGGAGTGAACGACCATTGATCTCAAACATTTGATACGATGAACAATGTCAAAGTTACCAAAACTATCCAAAACTACTGATGACTCGTAACGACCCATTGTTGTCGTCGTTTATCATCATCAGCATCATCATCACCATCATCATCGTCATCATCAATCCAAGTATCGGAACCGTTGTGCTGAACGGAAAAACTCGACGCACTCATGTAAAACACCTCATGAATGAGGTGGCTTCAAATCCCTAAGACCCCTAAGAACAAGGTACTATGGCGTGTGGACCCTGCAGTCAACCACCCAAAAATCGTGCAGTCGCAAATTTCTAGATACTGTAGAATAGTTTGGCACACTGTGGTCAATCCCCCCTCCCCCCCAAAAAGAGAAAACACCACTGTGACCGACCGGTGAGTTTCTTCCAGCGCCGACTGGTGACCACCGGTCCTTGTTTCCGTGGAAGATGGAAGTGACACGTTCCTTGGTCTCACGCTCCTCACCTGGCGTGGGCTCTCGACGGGGAGGACATGATTGAAAGACACGTCGATACGGTCGACACGTCGATTGTGGTCTACTATTGTTGTGACGCTCCTAGTATGAATGCTCCGTTCGTCTTGCTCCTATAGTAGGCAGGGAACTGGGATGAATACAGTCTCCATCTGAAGCCAAGACATGAGGACCCAAACCTGGGAAATCGTGAGCTATGATAGGACCCTAACTTTCAACTCAAGCCTTCATCGTGATGGACGGACACTGAACCGGCAACCTTGTTGCATCAAGCTTGGTATCTACATGGAACAGGCTCGTTTCGATTAGTACAAGCGACTTGTCCACATAGTTTTAACCAACCACTGGGACTGAGTTTCGGGACAAACCAAAACATCCAAAAACCAGGATGACGATTGATGGGTCCAAAACCTGTGCCACTGGGTGAAGCGATGACCTACTGGTGCAACGCCATGATCGTCAGCATGCAAATAAGGATCTCATTGCATACATATATATATATATATACACAATCATATATATATATACACACATTTTTTGAGGACCGATGTGTGTATAGTCTTACTTCTGTGACGTGGTTGCACCGATGTGTTTGGTGCAATGAAATCGTCCATATACGGCTCTTTGGGGAAAATCGCTGGCTCTCCCGGCACCTTCCACCGCTTTCTCTTCCTCTGCCCGTCGTGCCACTTCTTCCTCTCGGGCCTGACAGCAAGTCGCCCCACACAGTGTGGAGATGGTTCCGAAGCAACCAACGCTTGACTGGTGCGTGTGGCCCGGCTTAAAGAAGCAAACCAACAATCATGCACATGGTTGTTTCTTTATGTGTCTTTTGCCATGTGGATCCAATGGGTGCAGTGTGTACCTACCCTCTTTCTGAGATTACCCAGATCGACTGTAGCCCTTCCTGAAGACACAAGTGGACTGAACCAGTGATGTCATGACTCGGTCATCCGCAGTCATCCTTGGCGCTTCCACGTCAGACAGGAAATCATCCTGGAGTCCTGGAGCACCACCAACCACTTATAATGACCTGGAGTCCTAAGCATCACATCATGTTCGTCTGGTTTTCCAATGCTTTGCATTTGTTGGCGGAAGTAAAAGTCCCACATGACAACTAGAATACATGACAACTAGACGAAATAGACAGACATGATTGGTCCATTTTGCGTCGCTCAAAAGAGGGAGTGACTTCCTGGCCTTGCGGTCATAATGACTGGAGGATAAAGAATTCGTACCCAATCTCACCGACTGAAAAAAAGAAAACATCTTACCTACATGAAGAGAATCAAAAAAAGGCCCTTCTCACCGAAAGGGCTTGAAACTGCTTGTGCCGCACTCAGCTTGGCCCTTAAAAAGGAGCGCCTTGACTTCCACCTCGAGCTGTTTCCTCACCACTTCCCCATCAATGAAGCCACCCCACCTAAGCCGGGTGGTACTGGATGGCCCGATGGATGCGTCACATGATGCTACAAGCATTGGGGGCCACTGTAGAATCTTCGTTGCTACCCCTCCCCCATTTGGATTCTTCAACCTCTTCATATGCGGGGAGTTTTTTTAATCAACAGTCTACATTACATCTGGGTGTATTGGAAGAGGGACAACCCAGCTCAAGACCTGGGAAGAAATCGACCACCAAATCTAATGGGGTTCCCAGGTCTCCCTATTTTCATACCTATAATATGTTTTCGTTCGTGGTCTACCATTGGTCTATATACCGATTGCGTGAACCAGGCAGAGGAGAGGTGGACAAATGACGCCACAAAAATGGCTGAGTTAAAATGGTACCTGATTGCAAGACGCCTGGAGAAGACCTTCTAATGCCTTCTGACTCCCAAGTGGCCTGTCTCAAGCTTTGACCACTAACTGTTCTGTTTGACTTTCATGTCAGCATATTTGCCATTGATATGGTCACCATTATCTAGTACGATCTAGTCATTCTCCCATCTCCAACGATCCAAGCTTACCACCTCATAAATCAAAACCGATCTGTCTCTCTTCATTGTAGAGACCTCTTCTTTGGGTGGTACCTCCATAATCAGAGAGTTGGGGAACCACCCCAGGGATCAACTCTGACAGGTCAAAGTCGGAGAACCTCCGAGTATCCTATTGGACACAATCCACAACGGGTTCATGAGATGTAGAACAGACTCAAAAATCTTATATAAATATATACACACATATTCATCTTATGGTTCATGAGTGCATATATACGCATATTCATTCTTCATTTCTGGGCTGGAACTGTCCGCCACCGCGTGCCATGGTCCGGTACACAGGCTCCCAGGCTTTGCAGACTCAGCGTGGCCCTGTGCTTCGGTCATCTGGAGGTCTGGGGAAGGAGTTGGACTTGTCTGTGCTTTGGGACATCCGGGTATCCCGCCCCAAAAATCGGTTCCCTGTTGACTGGAAGAACGGCTGATTCTTCGACGGTATCGGATTCCGAGAACAAGCGTGGTTCTGCCATCTGCCCTGCATAGAAACGACCGTTCAGGGGACCCCTCTTATTCCCTGGTGCCAGTCATGTCATCTCCAGGTTTGAACCACTGAGTCGCCCTCGCACGCGCGTCACGCACACGCGCGCGCAACGCACACACCTTGCCCGGTTCATCCTCGGTGATGGAAACAAAGGGCGATCTCTAGTCGTGGATGCATGTGTCTATGTATATATTATATAATACACATCATATGTATATATATACACATCATCATAAATAACAGATCTATTAATAGTTAAATATAATATATATATATATATTATACAGTATATGTCTATTGCTTGAAAAGAAACTCCCTTCAACCCACCAGTTTCAGGAAACTCTCGTCGTTGGATGGTTCCTTTCACCATGTTTGAGCCCAGCCATGGCCGAATGGAGTCTGCCGAGCATATCACTACAGCTGCACTTGGTTCGAGGTCGAGCAGGTCTACACGAAGAGCGTATCTCTGGCAGCTCCGTAAAGTTGTGAGAGGAAAACAAAGAAAGCTCCACAGACCAAAAATAAGCTGTCGTTGTTTTCCTCTCACACACCTGGAACCACCCTTCAGGACTCTTCAGGAATTTGTCAATGGAGTTCTCCGAATGTGATGAGATTCCTCACCAGTGCAATCAAATCCTCCAAGTAGGGAAAAAAGTTCGCTTGGATCAAAAAAATATTCAGGAGTCCGACTACATGCTCGTTCTCAAACTCCGAGTTTGATGGGACCTGGGTGCGTACATGCCTGGAGTCCACACTTTGGCACTGAGCTACTGAGCGTTAGTCACCTTGGAAAGTCTTGATTTGTCAGCTTGACACCTCCATCCAAACAACCACCGACTTGGTGCCCTGCCGGCATGTCTGGGCCTTCCAACCTCTGCCTGTGGCAAGCGACTGCAGCTAGGGACCATCATTGAAACTCCATCATGAGAGCTTTCCTACCAAATCTCTCTGCACTGCACCTCAGGAAATAAACGATTCTGTTGTTGAACACCTGGCACTTGACCAAATCGGAGATAGAAGAAAGGAAGGTGATGAAGGCCCTTTGGGTCACTGTTGGATGGCCCAAACTGGGAGAAATCTGGATGCCATTCTTGCCAGCTCAGCAAGCTGGAGAGGGAGAGTTGTTCATTTCCACTTTGAAAAGCTCAACAGGGCAACTAGGACAAGTCGCAGCTTGGGCCAGAACAGGTCGCAGCTGCTTCTAAGAATGGAACGTACTATCTATATATATATACTTTATCTAGTTTTCGTCCCCCTTAAAACTCGTCAGGGCTTTGCAGCCGCGAAGGCTGCAGTAGTCAAATCTATTCAAGCACATGCCCCTAGGCATCGCGTGTTTGACAACCTACGCAAGCGCAAACTGGATGTGGGACATGCTTTTCTTACACACTCTATATTTCAAAACACAACAAATAAACTCTGATCTAATGACCAAAACATACCAAAACTGCATTTTCACACCAAACAGTAATAGGAGACTGTGCCATTCACCTCCAATTCCCGCGAGAAAATGCAACAAATATGTTCCTGACCCTCCCTGACTTCCATTCCTCTTCGCCTCCTCTTCCCCCCGCCTCTTCCGGGGCTTGTCCCACAGGCCGCGGCCGGGCTGGTGCAACGCTTCGGTGCTCACCTGGCGAAACAAGCACATCATCAAACAGCACAAGAAAACGAAAGACTTGGGAAGAAATGGTTCAAAATGAGAAAAAAAAATGGGCCTTTTTGTACATCCTCAAGTAGATAGAAGGTTGAACAATTATGATACATTAGAACCTTTGACCACAATCAAATGACCCAATTAAACCTACAGTAATTAAACCATACTCGACGTCTCAATGAGCGGTCACAAATGCCACGTTCGTCACTTTCTGGGCCTTAATCTACTGATCTCAAGTCTTACGAATGAGAACAGTTGAGCTGTCAGTGCGGTGTCTCACATTTGGCAGCTTCATACAAAGTATGGAGCAGTGAGATCACAGTTGATCACAATTGTACCTAAAGAGCCCTAAACGCTGATGTGAATGAAAGGGCATCATCTGTTCATGCGGCCAAATGATCAGTTGATCCTTTGACATCCGAGCTGACCAGAATATGCGAGCTGCAAGGTGCACAAATCAATGATTTGTCCGGCATCAATACAGGCTTGGCTTCCACATGCAGGCTGCTTCAGCAGTGGCTTCATGCTCCAGGGTGGGTGCAGGTGATAAACACTCTCAGTGTTGCAGTCCCGTTAATGCTTTCACCTGATCTATGGGGGTGAATTTGGACCCTGTCCCGGTTGTGGGTTCGGTCGTTTCTTCGGCTCTTGGATTGGACGGGTGCTGGAATCAGTTCCACGCAAGGTGGCAAGGGCAAGCACAGAATCCTAGGCAAAAAACAGGGATAAGGACTCCCCCGCTTCACAAGTGCATGGTTTGTGTGGGTCAACGAACTGACCGTGGTCGACCTGTTTGTTTTGGAACACAGGACTTGAGGGTCCAGCTGGATATGAACACCAAGAGTTCACCTGAAGAGAGCAATCTCCAGGCGTCGTTCAAACTGCTTCTTGTTCCTAGTAGCAAGAACGCTACTAGTAGTATGGCCAGGAGCAGCGATGCTCTTTGTTCCTAGTAGCTTCTTGTTCCTAGTAGCAAGAACTCCAAGAGTGTTATAAGACTCATCATGAATATCTAGCGTCCGCGGTTTCTCAGAATCACTGGACATCGTCTGCGAGCTAAGGGAATCTTGGAAGTACAAAAGGAGAGTGTGCCATGACCAGAAAAGGACGGCTAAAGCAACACACTGCTCATTCACTGATCGGAAGCCAAACCTTCCTTACTCCGGTTTCACTCAGCAGCAATCCTTCCTCATCGCCCGATCGAGCGAGGAGGAGGCCGCACCTGTGCCAGGAGGCCGCTGAAGGGAGCTACAGAAGCCGTGTCGTGCATCCACTTGGAGCTGTTGTTCTCACTGATGATGAATGTAGACTGATGAATGAAACCATTCTGGAATGAAGAGAACCAAAACCATTCTGGTATACAACCCTCTCCTTCTTTCCCAGTTCTTAAGACAGGCAAGTTCCGATTGGCGAACTCTTCAGCCCAGTAGCTGGGTGGAAAATCCATTCTGAAGACCAAACGAAGGCCCAGGTGTTACAAGCTGTCCAGCATGCTGGTGGCTTGCCGACTTCACTTCATGGAAACTCCGTGGAGAGGTGTTGAGGTGAATCAACTGAGGAAATTCTGCGCTTGAGGTTGGGGAAATGCCTGGATAGCTCTGGATGCTCTTTGGGGATATTCTGAGCTAACAAAAAATGGTACAGTGTTTTCAGAGAAGAATGGCGCCGGCACCCCACGATGTCTGTTTCTTTTGGGATGTTTCTCCATCTACCAAAACCAGCTCCGCCTTGACTATCCAGCTTGTTGTAGTCCTCATAGCTGGTGCTAGGCTTGAAACAGCTGAAGATCAAGCAAACCACCACAGCCAGCAGGACCTCGGGTAACGATCCCGTGATCCCCAAATAGATAGAGACGGTGTCCTGTCTACATGTAGAAGACGTGGGGATCTACGAACCGATGCATTACGACGTCTGGTTGAGATGTTTGGACGTCTGGTCATGTTCTGGAGCCTTTAACATTTGATGACTTTTGTGTTTGCCGTTTTGAAAGAGTATGGAAGGAAACAGCACCAGATCATGCTGAAACTACTCAATATTTATCAATAAAGGAACATCTGAAAGCTGCCTTAAGCACTCGAAGGTCCTTTTTTGGTGGCCAGCTCCAAAGATCAAATCCCACCAATTCCGCAAGTCGCACTCCTACATCACCAGCAAACAGCCTGACATGCAGCAATCAACGGCGCAAACCAAAAAGAAAGGAATAAATATTGCAAACAATCATCTCACGCAACTCGCATCAACTCGCACATTATGAGCCTCCCACTCAGCCTCCCATACAAGCTTCTTGGATGTGTATCAGAACTACCTGAAGCTTCCTTCGTCCTTTGCTACCAAAACAAAACAAAATTTCAAGTGCTCATTCAAGCAAAACGCTCTACTACAATCCCTTCAAAAAAGGTGCATGGAGCCCTCCCATATCCAACTCACTGTTGGGTGGTTTGCCACGTTTCTTTCCAATTGCACCCTTTTGCGGGTGTCCACCTTTGGCTCAAGAAAACATCAGTCTTCAGCATTGAAAATATACACTCGCAACCCTTCAAAACCACAAAAAACGAAAAACCCTACGAAAGTCCAAATAGTGCTTAAACCCTAGGTCCGCAAAAACACAGGTGCTATATACGCGATTCTATAAACTAAGGTGCAGGTATGCACAGAGGCTACAGAGTTTTACCCCGCAGCTATACAGCAATACTGTGTGCATACTGTAACTACTCTATAGAGTATGAAACCATAAGTCCGAATCTGACCATGTCAAAGAGCAACTGCTATCGTTGCCCACTTAGGTGGCAAGGCCTCAATATCAGAGTGTTCAAAAAAAAGAATGGCAGCACCAACACCTGCGTGTGAGAAGAAGGACGGATGCCAGACCCTATAGTTACCTACCCTCTACCCGAAGACTCCTCAGCCTGGACCCAAAGGGAGCATTAAAATGTGGACCAAAAAATACTCAAGCCAAACGATCAATTCGAGATGGCTCAACCCCCCCGGAACGCACCAAAACTGAGAATGGTCTACTGGAGTCTACCTGTGTCTACGTAGTGTTCACCACCCATCAAATCAAAACAAAAAACCCGAGTTAAACAAAAACACACACACACACTGAACTCATCCATTTCCCGTATACCACCTCGACGCCTTTGCTCCGGAGGTACCGCACCGATGATCACACAAATGGTCGTCGCGGTGACTTCGCTCGTCTCACGGTGCGGGGAGAGTCGAGTCAGAGCGGACAGTCGGTGGTCGGGCAGTGGTGCTTCTGATCCGTTCGGATCCACAGCTTGGAGCAACAGAGCCACCCCGAGAACCATCAAGTGGCTCCACGACCACCCGAGAAAAACAACAACCGACCGTTTGACCCGAGAAAACCGTTGGTCGAAAAAGTGGGTGCGATGTCATCACCGTGGGAGCCAGAAGGAAAATCCGTCCACTACGAAGCAGCAGCAGAATTTCTAGTAGTGTTCCTGCAGGAATAAGTATGTATTAAGAATATGTGTATAATATGTGTATAATATTGGATAATGCAGTACAGTTCAGTATATACAATAATTATATGGGATCATTTTCATCAGTATGCCAAATGGTCCGTTCCTATTACCTTTATAACAATATTCTGGAGTAGCTCAAGTCTGCCTGGTCATGAGCAAGGTCAAGAGTCCTCACTCGCCCCATGCCATACAGATCAACCTCTCCTCACCAACACCAAAATGATCAAAACCCAAAGAAAGCTTGGGACTCGAGACCCAACCGACCACGCTTTTCCGACATCCTTTTAAGACAACTAGCAAGGAAAACACCGCCCTCCCCAATCCAAATCCACCCCGCCTGGCTAGAGACCTTGGTCTGCGCCAGCGATTCTGCCGGCAGCGGCGGCAGCCCGCCCCGCGCCGCCTCAGCGGCCCGCAGCTCGCGGACCGCGGCCGCCGCGGTGGCTGCGGGTGCCAGGATGGCATCGGACTCCGCCTCGCCCATGGCCTCAGAGTGGTGGTGATTGGTGCACTCAGTTTGTAACTGAAAACACAGATGTACTTACACTTCAGCTATCTCGACAATCCGTGGATCTGCAGTTTTGGAGGGGTTCGTGGAGTAGAGATGTTCATCGGATTCATTCTCACCCTGTCGGCGCTTCATCCACGTGCGAATCCGCTCAATCGCTCCGCTCTCAGGTCGGCGGACGTTCAGGAAATTCACCTCAGCGACCGGTCTCGACCAACACACCGGGCTCAGTGTTCGGCCGCTCGGAACCGAACAACAAATCGGGAGAGGTTGGTGCGAAATGAAAAATGAACAGCATAGCAATCCCTCATAGCTGGCTCATGTGTGTATGGTAACTGCTAATTTGGCCATAAGAGATATCACCTTGACTGACACTCCCCAGCTTGGGAATCTTCCATAACAAGCCGCCTCCTGAAAAGAGCGTAAGCTCCCAGCAGAAATTCATGAAGCTCAACGCCTCCACAACGGTTTTCCCTGGTCGCCCGACATTGAAACATTCTCTTGTGATGATGTAAGTCGGACTGAAAAACCATCCCCAGTTCTGAACTTGGGGGACCATCTTGATCCACCCCCAACCCAACTTGATAGAAGAAATCCTGCACCACCTAGAATACATAAGTCTCTATATACAGTCCGTGGTATATCCTCTGTGTCAGGTGGTTTTCAGGATGTGTTTCCTCTCTGTCGGGTGTGTCCGTGCGTGTTTCTCCCACCCAATGGCACCCAGTACTTGCTGAGCTTCAAAGAAGCCCTTCCAAGTCAGGCTGGACAAACGAGACTCCTCCAGCGATTGGCTCACTTGAAGGAGTTGCCTCAGGTGAGCCAACGACACGGAATTCCATACACATGATAAAACGCCATATATGCTCGATATGCATGTGTAGACTTAGACTATATAGAATTCTTTCATATGGTAAGGCCAGGATCCTTGAAAATAGTCGAAAGAAAGTCTAACCAAATGTCAAATTGAAAATTCAAAAAGTCAAATGGACAAGCCAAACAAAAGTCAAACAAAAGTCAAAAACAGATCACAACTCGAAAAAGTCAAATAAAAGTCATAGGAAACAACTCGAACAAGTCCAAAAAGACGGAAACAAAAAGACATCGCAAAACAATCAAAACAATACAAAAATGGAAAAAACAAAGTAAACAATAATCGGATCTGGGCCGGGCCAATTGACATTTTTTGGACTTTCTCAACCTTTCTGATTTGACTTTTTTGTTGACTTGGTGTTTAAATCTTGAAAACAAGCTCTCTCCAATGAAAGAATCACAGTATATATATATAATGATCTATACAATAAATGGGTTTCAACCTTTCAACCTCGCAGCCGACCAAAAGCGGTCGTAGCTGTTGCGACAACCACCCACGCCTCCGAACCACCCAACACACAGCGAACACCACTGTCTTGGGCCTCGAAACTCTGGAAAGCATGAATTGTTCACTACAAGTAAGTAACACCTCAAGCCATAGAGATTAGCACCTCAGTCAAGCCATAGAGGTCAACATCCGCTAGCCATAGTGTACCTCGCCTGGGCATGGACTACTGGGATAGTGATCTTCCATCAGGAACCAGTCATATGTAGCACCCAGTCATACAGTGCCTGACTTAATTTTTCCGGAGAACCAACCGACCCACACGGCAGGTTTCGCACGACGTGGATGCGATATCGATTGGTGATCCCTAAAACGCAGGTGGTGATCCCTCCGCAGAATCCAACCGACCCAATCGACCCTGTTGGGGCACCTCTGTCAGTGAAGCCCCGAGACCATCAAGACCAACAAAAACCTTCTCGATTGGCGGGCTCAAATCACTTCATCACCACCATCATCTTTGTTCCAAAGCACTTCAACGTTAGTAAGTCGTGTGGAGGCTTCTTCTGCTTATCAAGTCACACATCGCAGGCCTCTTCTTCTGACACAGTGCTTACGGCTGCGGACTCTTCGGCAGCGCAAAGGAGGGCGCTGAAAGCGGCATAGGTGACAAGATGCATCCAGGGCATGATTCCCCTGGTGGAAGATGGGTTCAGTACCGCATCCGGATCGTTAGACAAACAGCTTCGGTCAGGACAGGTCAGCGCGGGCGGCTTGGTCAGGTGACAATGCGGTGGACTTGGACCCTGCAAGGTGCTGGGATCAAGACTGGTTGTTTTTAGGTGCTTTTGGGCTGGGGACGGGGTAAATGTGAGAACACTCGCTGGAAAAAAAAACAGAAAGGCACGTGGGATCATGAAAGCGGAAGTGTGAAGACATACAAAACAGCTTCTACATCTTTGTTGTCATCTTGTGATCATCTGTTTCGTCATGGCACCTCCCCCACCAGTCCGCATGGGAAACCTTGAGAAGCGACCCAAATACCTGAACGGTCACGTAAGCCCAATTGGAAAGCAGATGCACTGAAATGTCCCCATCTTCAGGCTTCAAGGATACTGTTGGAACGTACTCCCAACTTGTGGTACATCGCTTCAGAATAGACGCAACCAACGGTAGGTGGTCTACGTATGTCTACATATGTATGTCGATCTACATCTGTCTAGTATACTTACCATCTATATCCTCACTCTATCTCACTCTCGTCCTTCCTCGTGTCGCACACGAACGGACGGACCTCGTCCAACCCCCTTCACCGCCGAAGACGTGCTGGAGGTGCTAGGACCTCTTCGCCTTCGGGAATGTTCTTGCAGGGATTGGCTGCATAGCCGAAGTTGTGGAAGGTCAGGTACCTGACGCGAGGTATGGCCGGGTCAAGTGCCGAAGCGATAGACGGGCGACACAACAGGTGCGCTATGCTATGCAAGCAGACCTCGCAAGCAGGTAGGAATCTGCTATGGACGGGATGTAAACCCTGTCTTCTAGAACCTATGTTCCTACTGGTTCCTTGTTGAAACCATTGGCTATACCTGCGACAGCCGCAAGTAGAATCCTTGCTTGAACCCGTGCACATGGTGTCTACAAGTGAACGTGAACTCGAGGGTCACAAGTTGGCTGAGAACGCGAAGAGCCGCCAGGTCCGAGCAAATCACACAGAGGTCGCAGCCAGGTCGTCCAAAAGACTCCCCCGTTGGGTTTTGGTCGTCCAAGGTCAACAAGATGGACGGTGAAGCCACTGCTTGGATATCTACTTTCGATGCCACATGGGTCTTCTAGCAGGCAAAAGTGGGGATGCAATCTACAACTTGTGCTACTCCTGTATGAATATATATATATATATAACTTTGTAAACAAGTACAGTATAGTACGTTGTTCAAAGCAACACACACAAATTGCAGCAGCAACGTCTCTTTGACATTATTTGACTGAATTATACTGGATTCCTTTCCTATCCCTTTTCTTCGGCAGGATCAGCTTCTCAATTCTGACCGCTGCTGCTTTCAATCTTTGTATCGTCCCCAATGAAGATGTCCAAGCACACAAGACTACTTCCAAATATAGTGATACATGGTGTTCTAGTCTTACACACTTGTTACAGGGTTATATAGTACCTGCCCCATCCACTCGAAATAATGATCCGGCGCGAACTGCTCGTCGAAGGCAAACTTGCCTCAGTTCGACGCGAAACCCCCAGTTCGACCCCCGACTCTTCCAAATCAACCAAACCCCTTGACTCAAAATTACACACACTCACTGTGGGTCATGGCTGTGGGTTTGATCAAAATCATATTGCATCATATTTAATCCTTCTTTCAGAGGAATTTCAGCTATTCAGACTCCGCTTGTCCGTTTGAGGAATGTTTGAGAAGACACCCCTGAGTGCCCAATCACAAACCAGCGGTGACTGGAACAGATTCCAATATAATCAAACATTTTCTGGCACAAAAATGGGTCAAGTTGTTCGGACGTGCGAAAGGCAACCTGGCCCACGTTTCTTTCTGGTGGCCAAGTGGCTCATGGCAGCTTTCTCCACTCGGCCCATCTTGTGATTGTTGAAGGTTTCTTCCAAAGAGACCCTGCCACCGGGACGCTACTAGGACCAGGAGCAAGGACGCTACAGTACTAGGGGCCACTGGCATCGCTACGAACGGCGCAAGGCCGCTACTGAGTGAGAAGATGTGAGATATTTCAGCGTCGGCCCGGAGGTTAGGGCGGAGAACGGGGAGCCTGGGGTGTGCGCCCCCCGGTGCCGTTTTCAGCGGCGTGCATGGTGTGCAGTCTGTTTTTTAGGTCGTCCCTTTGCCTATCCCTGAACATACAACATCGGATTGGTCAGAAAATAAGAGTTCCAATGTGGCGAAGCAAATTGAAGGAGCAAATAGGGGCCAATCTTCTCATCCCTAACATGATGACTCAAACAATCCCTTTTGGGGAACAACACCCTCACGTCTCAGTCACATTCCGACCGAGTCTCAGTCTTCGCATTCGTCACGGGCTTGACCCTGCCCATGCGGTTTTCACCCTGCAAAGGGGCCATATTTGTCAAAAAGCATCCTGTTGCCAGTCTCACACGTCTCACGGATCCCCAATGGTCTGAAGCGGGCCACTGGATGAGCAATTGACACCTAAGAACTACTCAAGTCCTTCTTTTGGCAAAGTCATCCAACAAGTGAAAATCCATGTCACCATTTGCTCAGGCCAATCCTCTGCAGCCAAATCTGGCACCTGAATCATCATAAACAAGTGTGGATATCATAGGTGAATGATACAACTATATATATAACACATGATAAGCCACCTATCGGTTTTCGCCCCAAAACAAGACATCAGGATACATCAGGCGCCTGTTCGACCGACTTTTCACCCATGTTCACCTCCCGCAGATCGCCCATTTGGACCCCGCGCTTCCCCTCGGGGATGGGCCCTTGCAATGGCTTGCTCAAGGCCTTCGCGTCGCACGGTCAGGACCGGTCACGCGTTTTTTCTCGCCTGCGGCGACCGGTGACCAACAATAGACTAGCGATAGTCGAAGACAAAAGGGACTGAAATGGACTGAAGAGCTTTACAATCAGGGAAAACAAGCGAAACAATCCGTCTCCTCTTTTCATACCAAGCTTGGGACGTTGGCATGCCCCCCCGAGCAGGGGATTCAATTAAGTGTCTAAGAATATCTAGGTGTGTCGAATGCTCGAATGCCCTCAAAGTCTCGAAGTCGAGAGTTCAGGCAATGTGAAGTGCTTCTGCACGCGCACTTCAAGAAGTGACCCATTTGATCAACTGCTTGACCCAAAGAGAAGTTCCGGAAGCCAGATATCAGGCCATATCTGGCCATCTCTGGCCTGCGTACTCATGACCTGAATGGGGATCTGGACCGACCGCAACAAACGATCCTCCTTGGGACCGGATATCATGGATTTCCCTTCGGTCAAAGGAGATCGTGTACAAACCTGTCTGACACACCTCGTTGACTATAGTTGACTATAGAGCTTTTCTGTGTTTTCTGATGCTTTGTGTGTTCTATGTTCAAATGATTCCCAAATGGACCAGACCAAAGGATTCCTGACCATATCGATTCAGGTGACGGTTCCTTGACCCGCCGGGAGGTAAAAAGGATCAGCCATTACATGGTTGACGCCAACACGTAAAGCATTCTAGATAGTGTCACCCGCCTCAATGGTGGGGTTCGTGAGGATCCGCTTGTCAGCGGTGTTGTAGGCCCATTTGGCGACCTGACAAAAATTTGAGGGCAACGCACGGCAGGGCAGCAAGAAGCCGCTCCATGTTCCTGACCAAAGCCAACAACTTTAATTTAAAAAAGGCTAAGATCCTTGTGGAGGAACGAAAGGTGACAACAATCTCCGTACAGTACTTGATGGTTGCAGGTTGCAACTTTGGACCAAGTTCCAAGGCGTTGGCCGCTTCGGCCTGCTTCTTCCATCAAATCCGCAAAGGACTTCAGGACTTTTGAGGACGTCACTTGTTGGTCTTGTTTCTTCTTGGCACGTTGTCACGTGGCCTACTGTGCGGTCCTTGCGGATACGGACTTCAGCTGCGCTGAAAGGTGTGACTAGTCATGTCAGTAGTCTCTGGATGGGATTGAAAAAGCTTGGGTCTTTGTGAGTAGCATGGACCCAGACCCAGTGGGTTTGCCAGGAACGTACGGCAGGCAAATGTATCTTGGAACCACTCGAGATCGTCGCCAGGTTCCAGTCGCTGAATCCACCAGTCTCTGAATCCACCAGTCGATGGGGTCCGAGAGATCGCTGCATCTCGGCTTGGGCAACGATCATCGCTCTTTTGTTTGCTTCGGTCCTCAACAAGGAGTCTGAGAGGCCATGTTCATTCCTCCACCCTCAGCGGTGTCCTTTTGATGATTCATTCATGCATGAACGAGACATGAGAAATGAACAATGAGATGATTCAATTCAAGTAACCAGCAGTTTGTTCATTGAACCGTTTAACCACCAGTTTCTTCCGCAGATCGGAACCCCCAAAACCCACCCCCGCCCGGCTCGTCGGCTCCCGAGATCCGGACCACGCTCATGCCGGTGGTGTTCACCTGTGGCGCTGCATCCACACTGGGCAACAAGGCCAAATCCACCTGGACGGGGCGCCAAGCAACGAGACCAGTCTGACACGGTCTTTTCCGTGCGCCAAGCACGGTTTTGCGGTGTCTGTCGAAAACGGTGTTCAAGAATGAGTTTACTACACTCGGGAGGTTTGTAATTAGTGTGTGTGTATATGTCTGTCTGTCTGCCTGCCTGCCTGCCTGTCTGTCTGTCATTGTCTGTCTGTCATTGTCTGTCCGTCATTGTCTGTCTGTCTGGTCTGGTCTGGTCTGTCTGTGGGTATGTATGTGCTCGGTACTTGGTGCTGTCAAATGAACAGCGATCGAATTGCCGAGTTTCAAAAAATCAACTGCGGTGACCGCATGGTACAACTCAAGTTTCAAAGAGTCCGATATGATCTACAGTACATATCCAAACCATCCTGAAGCTACAATAAATTACCCGGTCTCTCGGAATTCCAAAGCTTCATGGACCAAAAAGAAGGCCTGTGAGGCAATTCTGAAGTGTGCCGAACGTGTCTGTGAAGCAGTTCACCTTAATAACCTTGTAAGCCCAAAGACTGCCAAAGACTATATAATACCAGTGCGAGACGCTGCGAGACCATTTCAAGGCCATCTCTGGTGCTGGGAGCCACATCTTAGATCTTCTCACCTCCTGTCTCCTGTTCTCTAAATATATGGAAAATGATGGAAACAACACATGTTTGCAAAGATCCGCGCTCGGCTCTGCTCACCAACCAGGAGTCCAAATGGGAGTCCTGTTTGAGGAGTCCAACACAGAAAAACAGCACC